AGCAACAAAGGAAGCAGCATTCCAAACATTTCTCAGTACTTTCAAACCAGAATTGTTAAATAAATGTAGGGCACCTGGGTTCAAGTCCTGACATGGAAAACTGCTGTAAATGTTCCCATAAGAAAGAAAAATTGAAAAGTGAAAGTGAAGGCTGACCAAAAGCTATTGTGCCCTTACGATAACCTTGTTTTATTTTCACTGCTGTAGAGGGAATTATTGTTGAATCTGAAAATGCAGATCTGAAACTGCCATATGTTACTCATCGTAACCAACACTCCTAACCTCAACTTTCAATCCGCCTTGGAACTGCACAGAAATAAAGAAGTACCACCATTTTGGTAATCATTTGTAGCTCTGAAAATACCGCAGCTATCAGAAGCATACAGATGTCACAGAGAGCCTGCATTCATAAGCAAAATGTTCAATTGACATCGATGCAAAATATGGAAATAGCACAGTCTGTGCCTCCCATTACCAGGTCAGATTTGCTGGGCAGACATCTGAAAAACCATCTAAATTTAAATTTTTTAAAAAATAAGACGATGAAAATTTGACAACAATATTATTTCAAAAGAGGATCTTCTTACAAAGTGTTTCATAAAAACCAACCAGTATAAGCATTTTTGTCCTTCTATCACAGACCTACCTTGCAGTGTGTAAATGTGTTCTTTATCACATAAAGAACTGAGGATGGAAGGGTGCGGATGCTCTCCAGAGGCACACACTCCTGCAGCGTGCAGACGTATCGCACACAACCGGTCAGAGTTTCCAATAGTTGCACCATAGTCTTAAAGCATGAATAAACAACAACAATGTTTTTCACTCCTGGAATAATTTGAAAAGCATCTTTTCTTAGCTGAATTGCACCTAGATTTGAATGGCTTTGAAAGTTCACTGCTTTTTGCATAAATAAGTAGTTTGTTAAAGATGAATGAAGCTCCATAAAATGATATCAAGAAATTCCAGACCTTTTCTCCAATACCATATACTCTTTGAATGTTTCATATTTCTTTTCACTACTGTTCTCAATTTACAAAAATGTTAAAACTCTGAATTAAATGATGGCATAAACAGGTGCCAGATTTACTCTTTTAATATGCAGAAACACATTCCATTTGCGTTAGAGAATTTGAGATTTTTTTTTAATTCTGATTAGCATCACACACTAAATGTAATCAAATAATTCACAAAATTTTAATTGAACTTCAATTGCAAAGGAAGTTCAAATTACATTTTAACCAGCTGGTTAGTAGCTAGCAAAACCATTCTAAAAACCTCTTAGTTATCCAGGTAAGATCAAAGAATAATATAAATATTCTTTTAATAACTTATTTCACGGGACTTACCTGTAAAAGATTTCTTACAGTACTGCATAACTCTGTGTTCTGGCTGGTTAATCCTTTGGCCTCACTGGATAATTCATACATCAAGTTATCAAATAACTGTAGAGTCTGTCAGAACAAAACAAAACTTAAACATTTTATTTATAAATGTACTCATGCAAATAGTAACACCATTCCACATCTGCTTGCTTCCTCAGCATGGAGTCATGGGCTACTGAGATAACTCTCAGGAGAAGGTAAGGCTTTCCAGTACTTTACTCCTAAAACATAATATACTAAGAAACAAAAAACATCTTACGGTTTTCCCAAATCATAGACAGAAGCTCTATTAGCTGTTACTTGTTATAAAATCTATTAGTAAAACAAAATTGCTAGCTAATTCCCTTGAAATATACACCTCATTCTACCAAAGATATTTTCATTTGGTTAAAACCACACCATTTTAAAAGTGTTTTCATTTTGTCTCTGAAAAATTGTGGGTTTTTTGTTGAGAATCATCACTAACATTTTGAATACACAAAGAAATAAGCCTATGACCTACAAACAACAGTAACTTCTACTTTGCTTGAGGTCCTTGTGTATCCTACAAGTGCTACTGCTGGGACTGCAAAGACAGTGAGTGGCTTCCAGGCATGCGCAGGATACTACACAAACCGGTATGGTACAGCAATCTTTGTTCAGGATATGCCTTTTATCAGTCATTTTTCTTGTAATCTCAAAAATTTGCTACAGGACATAAAATAAATGGAAATCAAGTAGTCGTTTTTACTGGCTTCTTACAATACACATGCTGAGGCCTGAAACTTAAATCAATAATTTGGCACTGCTTTACATCAGTTAAATGTAGGTGTTGAAGAATTTTAATACAACTACAGCACAAAATTCTCCACCCTTTAATCCAAAAAGCGAACATATGTTAGGCCAGTACAGTCTAAAATTTTATTCACTATATTATTCACAAATATAACAATGTTTATCCATAACACACGAGTGTTGGGCTCTTCAGTTTATCTCATAGAATCATAGAATGGTTGGGGTTGGAAGGGACCTTAAAGATCACCTAGTTCCAACCCCGCTGCCCTGGGCAGGGATACCTTCTACTGGAGCAGGGTGCTCAAAGCCCTGTCCAACCCGGTCTTGAACACTGCCAGGGAGGGGGCAGCCACAGCTTCTCTGGGCAACCTGGGCCAGAGGCTACCTCATGTAAAAATTCTCCACCTTGGTCATTTTATAAAAAGCCCTATCTTCTTAAAAAGAAATAAAAACCAATTCTATTACTGAATACAGAAAGCCAAACGCTGTATGTTCAACCCTCTCCCCACTGTAAAGAATAATAACAATCACAGAAACAATCTGACACCACAAAATTGTTTAACCTTTAAAGGGTAAATTTTTAATTTCAAGTTTTGTAGCCAAAGCAATAATTATATCATGGACCTCAAAAAAGAATTGCTGCATTCTAAGCAGGTTTTAGCATTGGACTGACTGAAAAATCCACATTTAAGTGAAGCTGTCATACCTTAGGCAGTACTTTTGAGAAAAAAGTTTGTTCCAAATCTCCAAGGCTGATATGGGGCAAAAACATTTCAGTCAGGATCCTCAAAACGCCTGCAAAGCAAAACATTTATAAACATCAGAGAAAAACAACATGCAATTATCAAAAATATATAGTGACCTACCAGGTAAAACAAAGAACTGCATCAAGCAGAAACAGATCAGGTATTTGATTTTGGGAGAGGTAACATAACATTTACCACATATGCACTATCCAAAAAATCAAGTCACAATAACTGCTCCAACATGCATAAACCCATCAATAGCATCACACCTGCCTACACTCAGCTGAAGGCTGAGCACCACGGCTTGCCCATAGAACTAGAATTTTCCATATTCCAAACAGCAAACAGTTGTACATTTCAACGTGCTGGTTGGCACTAATATGCAACTTAACAGGGAAAGTTAGCAAGACTCCTGAAGAGTAACATTTCAGTCTCATTTTCTTATCACTGTCAGATATTATGAGAGTTTTGCCACCTATCAGATAACAGCAAAAAGGACAATAAAATACAAGAAAAAAAGCACCCTTCTTTCAAGTATCTAACAATCAGAAGTCGTAGGAAAGAAAAAGCAGTCTTACATGCATAGCTTCTTTATGGGCTTTTATAAAGCTTATTCAACACACAATTAATGTAACGTGCAAGGTCCAGCAGGATTGATGAAGACCACACAAGTCCTTAGTTACAGCGTAGTATTTTTGAGTAGTGCATAATTTACAATGCAATTGCAATACAATGCTCTGTAGCAAGAAGAGGCACTCGGTCACTACTTACGAATATGCTCGGTCCAGTCTTCAGACTCTTCATACATTGAGTAAAAACGTTAAAGAAACTCAAGCTCGCTCTGCTGTAACGATTACCTTTAAAGCATCTGCAGAAGTCGCAGCGACTTCTCTCACGCTGCCCTACATCCGCTTCATCCACAGTATGAAATCAGTGGGGATGCTCCATGACCAATGCGGGCAGACATATGAATGTACCTCAGTGCCCACACGCTCAGCACAAATATTTCTGCAATGTACTGGGAGAGTAAGTCTCGGGGTTTTTCGGGAGGCTGGGAGTTATCCACACGGTATTCTATACCGTGAATCTTTTATTTCGGTGAAGGGCTGTACTCCTTTCTGCCAGCCCCTTACAAAGGTTGCACCGCTTCCCTCCCAAGGATTTATTTGCTTGAACTGTACAATGCTGGCGGAGGAACACCTCCACACCCCCTCCCCATTTCGGGCTGACTCCCCACACCCACCCAGCAGCCGAAACCCCCCGCATGCGCTGTAGGAAGGGGAAGCCGCTCCACGCGGGAAGAGGCGGAGGGCGATGGCGACCGGGGAGCGATACGGGCGCAGCGGGGTGGGTAAACCGGGATCGGGGGCCGCTTCTCCAGCCTGCGTGCTCCAGGCGGCGCGTTGACGTCGCGTTGCCTGAACGTACGATTTCGCGTTGGTGGGGGATAAAGTTATTAAAATGGGGGGAAAACCCCCCACGCAGAGAAGTGTTGGGGTAGTAACTAAATCGGAATAAGGAAAATGCCGCTGGGCAGCTGCAGGAGAAATTTTTACCAGTATTTTAAGTATTTTAACAGAAAAACAACGCTTTGTATAGCATTGCATGGTTTTTTCCCCTCAGACAGCTAAACCTGAAAACCGAGTTTTAGCAGAATAAGCAGCTACCCTAATTTCTCCGCTTATTCCTGCGTTACGGTCACTTGTAATGCTGTCTTTTCAGAAGTTTAAACGCCGAGAAATTCTTTTTTTTAATGGAAATTTGGATGCTACAATTAGGCGGTTTGTTTGTGCTAATATTTGGCAGTTAATGATAGGTAAAACTATTTACTTTCTTTCCAGAAGTAATTAATATTTGGCAGTTAATGATAGGTAAAACTATTTAATTTCTTTCCAGAAGTAATCCACCCATCGCGCTGGCAAAACATCTGCTACTCTACCTGCAGAGCACTCTTCCCCATGGCGATAACTGCATAAAAACATCCTCTATAAAAAAAAAAAAACAAGGAAAACAAAAAACCATCCTTGTATCAGTATTGCTCTTAGATGAGTGTTTCTGGCTGTAATAATTAAGCTTTTTTTAACTCTTATTCCTGAAAATGGCTTTTCGATTTAATTTTTCCATTGATGAAATTGAGCACAGCGAAGCAGCCACTCCCGACGAGGTGGACGCGCAGCGGTGCACTCTGAAACGCAAGCAGGAATCCACAGAAAAGAGCAAGCAAACTGCTGGGACCGTAGCGGACTCCAGCCCAAGGCTGGGTGCTGGTGAGGGACGAGACGAGACACCACCAGAGAAAAAGTTCTGCTTTAAAGCTGCCAAGGAGCACAAGATACCTGAAGATCTCAACAAAGTATTGGAAAATAAAGTCCTGGAAACATTATCAGGCCTGTATTACGTAAATATGTCCGTAGTGGAAATGATGTGCGTGCATGGTGCCGATGCCGAAGGCATTGTGTCTAAAAGTGTTTCTTCTCGCTCCGATCTCATCCCAGGAGTCTACGAGGGAGGACTGAAAATCTGGGAGTGCACCTTTGATCTCATAGATTACTTCTCCGAGGCTGAAATACACTTTGCCAACAAGACAGTATTGGATCTTGGCTGCGGGGCTGGACTGCTGGGAATAGTTGCGTTAAGGGGAAAAGCTGAAAAAGTCCATTTTCAGGACTACAACAGCACAGTGATTGATGAAATAACCTTGCCCAATGTGGTGGCTAACTGTATAAATGAAGGCAGTAGGATGGGCAGTGGAGACCACAGAAAAACTAGCAAGCCTCCTTTGAAGAGGCCCAAGAAAGCAGAGTGCTCACCTGATGCGCTCACCAAATGCAGATTTTTTTCTGGAGAATGGTCTAAAGTCAGTGAGCTCCTGTTAAGCAGCAACGAACCCTTTTTGAAGTACGATATAATTCTCACATCCGAGACCATCTATAATCCTGACTACTACAGTGCTTTGCACGATACACTGGCTCAGCTCCTGGATAAAAACGGCCGTGTGTATTTGGCAAGCAAAGTGCTTTATTTTGGGGTTGGCGGTGGTATCTACCTCTTTGAGAAATTCATTGAGGAGAAGAATGTGTTTAGGAGCAGCATCGTTAAAACAATCGATAAGGGACTGCAGCGATGTATTATGGAAATTGCCTTTAAAGATTCCAGTTAAAATTCAACCACTGGTCCTTCAAAAATATCTTAAATACAAAATGTTTTAATCCTTGTGTCTCTCTGCTTTTTCCTCTGTTGAGTTATTGTGGGTTGACAAATTAATGATGGCCTTTACTAGTTATTGAAATGTTTGACAAATTCTGATCTCTGATGAAGTGAAGGACTCTTCGGATTCTGGTTTTGCGCAGAAAATTGGAATTCTGCTTAAACCAGCATCTAGTTATGCCAATTAATTGTCATTTATATGTATTTAAAAATGAAGCAAGTCACTGTCCCCACTCCTCCTCTCTCATTCTTTAGCAGTGCCAGAACTGCAGCTCACTGTTCCCGGATCGGCTGCGTACCTGTGTGCTCTGCTGCTGTGCCACCAGAGGGGGATGCGATCGCACCCATGGCTTGGGCGCTGCTCTGCTAGCAACCTCACAAATCCCTGTGATGGTTCTGGATGCAATGCACACGCGACTTTAGTCAAGCCTCTGAAAAACAGCACCGGGGAATATATACTGGTGCGGTCTGTGAATTTTCACATTCAGATTTTTATGTGTCACTCTAAGAAAATTTCAGCTAGTAATACTGGTTTTAGAAATTAATAAAACTGATTTCTGTTTCAAAAGCTTGAGTTGAAAGAAGATGCTACACAAGAGAAGGTCCTTAAAACCACCAACAAATAAACCTACAAATGACATCCAGGAAACCAGAGGATGACAGAACTGAGCTTTAGGGGACAACTGGGAAAGGAGATAAACTGCTCTGCTACAACAGATTGCCAATTGGAGTGCTCTTCTGTTTTGTTGGGTTTTTGTGGGTTGTTTTTTTTTTTTTTTTATAAGATTTTTCCAGAAATTAACTGCCTATACACTATGACCCATTATTCAGAACTTGCTGGGGGTACTACCGAACACTCTCACACCTCCTCAGTCTTTACAGCAGTTTGGCAGGGCAGCAAACATTCAGAAAAGCCTGTGTACAAGTCACTTCTGTGTCCTAGGGTGAAGACAGTGATGTTGCTGAAGAAATTATCTTACCAAAAATGCAAACAAACCCAAAGAACTGGTCCTGAGTGCTTGGCATCACCAACAATTCACACAAAAGAATCCATTGCCTGTTTTGTCATAACTAAAACTGAACAAAAAGCTCAATTCTATCAGGTACGTCAAAGCTACTGCTTATCGTCCTGCAGCACTTTACTGGGTGCCCTTGCAGAAATATAAACTTAGAGACAGTCAACTGCTGCAGTAAACTGGATGCAAGGATACACAGTGTAGGGGAGAAAGGTTAATAGGCTGAGGGGATGGAAAGAAGCTTATTACAGCAGGGAACCTAAAAGTGATCTAAATCACTTTAATTATTGCGTAAAGTTCCCGTCATTGAAGGCTATGAAAGTCAACTACAAGATTCCTATTTTGACCATGTTGCTATTAAGATAGAGTCATAGAGGATTTCCTGTACTTTACAGGAGAGCCTTAACAACTACTGTTTTTTCAAACACAATTCTAAGTAGACTAATTTAAAGGGATACTTTGGAAACTCCTGAAGTTGCTCTCTTAAAGGAGGGGGGGTGGGTGGGGGAGAAAAGCAGTCAGTTGTGCCATGGCTGTGATTGCGCTTTGGAATTTTTCTGCATCAAACTTAGTGATGATAGCCATGTGCTGACTACAGATTGAGGAACAAAAGGAAGTTTTCACTTTGGCAGATTAATAAAGTACTGTTAACAGTTCTTTTTTTGTCAAAACTGGGAAGCTGGAAACAAAGTGACTGCCGCTTGCTATTTTTCAAACCTCAGTCATAAGACAAATTGTGTCTTGCACATAGTGACTGAGTAGCTTGTTCTACACCTGCTAGGTCTAGTTCTATTTCAGAGAATGGTACCTCAAGTAATAAGAGCTATTGACCACTATGAGAATGAATATGGCTAAGAACAAGAATCTCATGTATGTTTTGATTTTAAAGGGTGGTACTTACAATCTTCTACCATAATGCTTCCTCTTGAAAATATTCCACGATCAAACTCACTGTCTTGCATTTAATAGGCCACTCCTTTACTCAGTATCCTCATTTTATTCTTGGATTGCTCAAACACAGCTCTGTTTTCATGCAAATACAAAACCAGATTTTTTAGGACTTTCAAATGAAGACTGCTAGAGCCACAATCACAGTGACTGCACACCTGCAAAACAGTTATACTGTGTGGGGTTTCCTAAGTTCCCATTTCAGAATTACAGATGAGAATTAATAAGGATGTTTTTCTCAGGTGAAGTCAGCAAAATTAGCATTGTGATTTCCATAATTCCAAATGAGTGCTATTCTGTTCTTAAAAGTCAGCAGATACACACCGAGAGGAAGCAGCATTCAACACTTAGTTTTGCAGGCTCGTTGTTCTGTTGATGTTTCAACATCAAATACTGGTTTTCCTATCTACAACATTAATGCTTCCTCTACTTGCCAAACCATCACCACCCTAGTGACCACTTCCCTGCTTCTATTCAGGATCTGGAATAAAAATCTTTCACTCGCTTGTAATACTTGTACAGATTAGTTAGCAGCTAAGGAAATTAACATTTCCCCAAGTGATACTGCACTAGAAGAGAATTGGGAGGACCCTCAAAGTATTTTTTTGATGACACAATAAACCCTTACATCAGGCCCTGTTTCTTGTATTAAGAAACACAGGTAGAGATCAGCTGGTAACTCAATTTATTAGCTCATTCCAAATCATCACGCATTTTCTCCCCCTGCCCCATCCCCTTGCTTTTTGAAAGAGTCATCACAATAAGAAATCCGGTCTGAATTATGTCTTTCCCGTAAGTATTGTGGAGAGTAACATTAAAATCAGTCATAAAACATCTCAGGAAACTAAATTAAAAAGCTTGTTTGTTTTAACAGGCGCTATGCTTAACTGATGACTTCCCTTTGAAGACTATTTGCTAGTTTTGGGAAATGAGGCTATTAAAAAATCAGATTTGTATACTGGCACCAATTAAATGGCATCCATTACAGTTATTTTACTAAAGCTTAGGGGAAAAAAACCCATGAGGAAAATTGAAGTAGGAGGTGCCCAGTTTGCATACTGTTCTTGGTTATTAGGTACACAGGCATTTAGTGATGTTCTGAAATCAAACTCTTGTTCAGAAAAATCAAACCTGCAATCAGTGTTATTATGGCATTTGAAGTGGTGCAGCCAGACAACTATTGCACAAGAGGGTAAAGACGACCACAAACAGCAGATGCAAAAGCACACAGAGGCCCTGGAGGGGACAGTCCAGGCTGCCTGTGGCAGGGAGCAGGTACCAACCAAGAGACCTGCGGCACCAGGTTCAAGAGATCCTGCTCCCAGGTGGTTACTGGGATGGAGATACAAGGAAAGGACTGAAAGGTTTGAGGATGAAAACAGGAAATTCCTCTCTGCCCAAAGATAAAGAAGAATGACATAAGATGGATAATTATTGTAATAAGGCAGTAACAGCAGGATTTTTTGTGATAGAAACTGGACTAAATCCTCTCAGTTTTAAGAGTCACATGCACATGGAAAAGAAAAAGCTACTCTATACCACCAGATACCGGTAGATAAGTGCAGCAGGAACCACAACAAGGAGGAGAACCAGGATTTATATACAAATACCTCTTGAAGACTGCAAGTCAACAATGTAAGTGTAAGAACAAAAGCTACTGCCTGGAAATCCACAACCACATTAAAGGAAGACTGGCAGGAAACAAGTGAAAATTGTAGCAAGTAACTTCTCAACAAATGAAGGGCAACATCCTGCCACAACAGGAGGAAGCAGGTACTGTAAGTTAATTCAGACACTGCCTAGGTGTACTGGGTCTGGCTGGGAGGTAGTTAACTATAAGATAATTATTGCTATAAAAAAAGAAAAAAGCATCATTATACTCATGAGGAATAAAAGGAGTACAGGGGAATCAGAATTAAACAAGTATTGTCAGAATTCAATATTGCCATCAGTCTGCTGTAGGGAAGAATCTTACAGGAACACAAAAGATCATCATTACTTGTGTGGAACGCAAATACTGAATTTCCAAAACCATGGAGTAAATTGAAGATTTAGATAATTGAAGAACTGTAACAGTCAACCCTCCCCCTCCCACTGATTTTTGTAAATGTGGGTAAGAAAGCTGAAAAGCTTACAGAGCAATAGAAAATAAAGGAAATTGAAAACACTGCGGTCAAAGACTAGGGACCATTATTTGGTCCTGTGGTATTTAAGCTGATGGCAAAATCCTGATGTATCCTACAATGTATCAGTGAGACAGGATTGGATGAAAATAAACTGGAGGTAAAATGATGTGGGAGTGTTTAATTAGATGGCATTGCAAATGGAGAGGAAAAAGGCTTAAAACTGCAGATTCTGCACAAAGGAATAATCTGAAATATCTGGGGATTACTAGCCATATTATAAATTACAGCAGAATCCAGTTACTCCAGATTTATGGTAACATAACAGAAGACACATTCAATTTTATTCATCAAAGTACAGCTCACAGAGTTACCAGTTTTGAATTGCTTGTTGTGTTCATAAGTAGCCAATTTATTTCTTGTCATCTGACCATGTAATTTCATAATCTGTATACACTTTTTTCAGTATCTCTACAGTCACTGAATGATCTGCTTTTCCATAGCCCTGCAAGGAAGAACAAATGCTTATTAGACATGTACAGAAAGTAAGTCCACAGAACTATTCCGTTCTTGTCAATACGAATTATCCAGTTATGATTTGATACTTTTAAGTAGTTCACATACAAATCAAATACAGGTTCTAAGAGTTATTTTTGCAGTATCATGTTTTATTTTTCTATTGTCCTCTCCAATTCCCCGCCAACCTGAGTTGTAGAAAATAAATGAGATGGGGCCAAGCAGTCTCAAGTAACAGAGGATGCCTTTTTTCACATCATGATTTCTCCAGCAGAAAGCTTGTTTTAAAATGTTCCTAACCCCTCAGCCACCATATTTATTGAATGTTCTTTTAAACCACAGAGATTGCATTGACCCACTTTAATGTATGAGCATACAAACATCTGATATGGCTCAGCTGAAGCAAAAAGGAATGAGCCACCATCTGTGAACATTCGAGTACTCTTCTAGCCACTAAAGAAATCTGCAATCTTGCCTTGGCTGGTAATGGCATAATTTTAAATATCTGTGTTCTTCAGCCACTGCAACTCCAAGCTAAGGCAAGGTCAGATGACCCAGGTGATTTTTAACCCTCATTTAGATCACAGTTCAGTGTTACTCTTTCACTGAAATTTAAGAAATTTTTGGTAGAAGGTGCTTTTCCATGTCTTATATGACTGGAGTTATCTTCATTTCTTATTTCAGAACCACAAGTAAGTTTTTTCCTGTCAAAAAGCCTTTACTGCAAAACAGAGCAGTCTACTGATTAAAACCTGTGATTTACAGGTTACTTTAAGTTTCACATGAAATACTGGAAAAAGAATTTGGAAGATTGAAAAAAGAGCTCAAGACTGCATTATCAAAAAAACATGTACTCTTATTCATCATTGACTCTGCCTCAAGAGGCACAGCTTAAGTAAACCAGCATTTAAACTGCACAGGTCAAAATTACTGATGCATTATAAAATATAAACGTTTCAAAAATACCAGATAATACAGTTATGTAAGACATACTGCAGGTTTATACTGTCAGTTGTAAAGCAGCAGACCTACAGATCTCTCTTGCCTTTGTAATCACTTTGAAGACCTCATCCTGCTTTGCAAATAATAGCACAGCATCTACCTCAAAAGAAGTGAATGGCTATTTCTCTGGTTTTCATAAAGCACCAAGGTAGTTCTGTTTCAGAGTCTGACAACAAGTCTCAAAGAGAAGCATTAAACCTATGTCTTTAATATACTAATATCTGACCTGCTGCTGAGGTCTTCTGAACCTCCAAGGTCTCTGCCTGACAGAAGCCCTCATGGTAATAAAACTGCTTTTACCTGGTGCTCATCTGTAAGCATCAAGGTACCAAAAGAGAGAAAAGGGGTATTTTCCACAGACATTGCATTACAAGAGCAGGAGTTGACCACTGCCTCTAACACTAAATTGGCAGCTGAATTAATAATACAGGTGTCAAGTCTCATCTAAAGATGCAGTTGTGATGAGGACTTACAATCACAAGAATTTAGCAGAATAAGCATTATATACTGCCTTCCCACTCCATACAAATCCTAGAGAGTTCTCTTTCTTTTCCCCTTGTGATTCCAGGTGGCAAGAGTCATCTTAGAACAAAAGCAGCACTAACATTCAAAAATACTTAACACATTCAAGGCCCAACTTTGACTGCTCATCGAAGGTAAGCAGATTTGAAGTAACCATCACTTTCTACAAAAAAACCCAAAACTTACTAGAACTATTTTCTTCTTGTCTACATTACAAACCTAGGATCTTTACTCACAGTATTACTACAGAAGCAGCTATGCTTCATCAGAGCATCACCAGAAACAGACTATAGCATGTTCCCTAAAATCAACAAATCATTACCACTTAAAAAGTCTTTCATAAACAAACTGAACTTGCACAGAACAAGTAACAGTTAAAAATATGCTAGTTTCTGTATTCTTGGGAGTTACGTTTATTGCCAGAAAATGCATTTATGTGAAACTACACATTAACCTACTAAAAATTCACCGCACCTGAACTGGGCCTACTCCTCTCACCCAACACATCCACAGAACAACATTCACAATTTAGCTACCAACCAATATTTTTATTGGCAAATAAAGATCACACAACAGCTGGATCAAGGCCCTGTGGCTACAAATGGGCTATTCCTGCTTCAGCAGTAAGACTAAAAGATTCTGAGTCAATAGATGCTAACTTCTGGTTTTAGTCTTGATTATAACTTAATGTTGGTATTACTCAGCATTATCTATTATTGTTGCTTGGGTCTCCTGCCCTTAAAATTAGTGTTTTTCTAAACTGTCTCACAAGTGAGCCAGGCAAGTTTTCCATGAGTGTTTACGCTGTGATTCAAATTGCCAAAAGCCACCGTGCTATAAAAACAAAACACCCAGAACGCCAGGGACGAAGGGATTGGAAGGAACACAAGAGACACACTTACTGTAGAGAGCCCAAACACCCTGATTTTCTTGTCTTTGCTATTATGATCAATTTTCCCTCCGCCAAGGCACTTGCACTCATATCCCAGCTTTGCCATCTCCGGATTTACTTTTTCAAATATGTGATCTGCGCAAGAAGAATGGTTAGAGCCGTCAGAATACATGCTACACATCAGATCCTCTACAACTCTTCTGCTATTTTCCACTCATTATTCTCCAGTTCCCTTCTTCCACCTGCAAGAGAGGGAGGTTCCTCTTGACAGACATAGAAAGACTGGAATTAAGGTTCGCTATTGCAATTTTTTTTTACTTAGTTAACACATGTCGTTCTCCTAATGAGATTTATCAGGTTTGGAAATGACATCTGTCAGATACT